AAAAAAAAAAAAAAAAAAGTAAAAGTAAAACAAATTTGCCCATGTTTTCAGATTCCTTAAAATGTGCAGGTATTTCTGCATATTTTAGATATTAGTACCTTGTCAGATTGAGCCATCATCTCCCAAACTGGCATTGTCTATCCTGTCCTGTGTGAAAGATATATTTAATTTTGCTGTGATCAAATGCCTTCATACTCTGTTTTTCATGTTGTGCTGAAGAAGCCTTTAATTTATCTGGATACCAAAACATGGTCCTGTGTTTTCTTTCACTGTCCTTGATTCCTTGTTCACAATTCTAAAATCTAAATATCTAGATATTCATGAATTTGGCACCACATTGGTTGGCTGGAGACCAGGGACTTGCTGTAGTGGTTGGAGACTTTAATAAAGGGACTTTATTAAGGGTACAGAGCAGATTTCTCAACCTATGCAGATGGGCCAGACGGTTCTCTGTGGTGGGGAGCCGTGCTGTGCACTGCAAGCTCTTTACCAGCACTGCCATCTCTATCTGCTACCCGCCCATCCATCCATTTGGCCATGACAACAACAAATGACTCTAGATATTGCCAAATTGCTGCCAGTGAAGAACCACTGGCTCAGGAGGCCTGCGTAAGACGGCACAGGACCTTGGGCCACTACCAACTGCAGGTCATTACCACCATGTTGGAAGGAAGGGGGTGTGTTCCTGGGGCCAGGTGACTGAGAGTTTTTAATGGCAACAGCTGCTTTGCAAAACCTGGGTTCTTCAGTGGAGGGGCGGAGTCAGCCCAAGCAACCCCGCCGGGAGGAAGCAGGTGCTCTATCCTGCCCTGTGCCACCAGGGGGCGAAAGCCTGGGAGAAGCTGTAGAGAGGTTGCCTCCCAGCCCCAGAGCAAGATGGCAAGGGGGAACCGGGCCTAGAGGGAGCAAACCAAAACTGTTGCTCCCAGTTATTTTGCTCCCACTATTATTTGGTGGCAAAAGTGACTAGAAGTAAGCTAAATATAGTCTAGTCCTTACCTCACTCATTGCAGGAATACTGAGGTCTTCGATTGCAGCAGTGTCCCAGGCTCTGTTGGTGGTGTAATGCAATATATATATTATAGATACCATGTTACCTTTCCAAAATCTGAAAAATTTGAATTCCCAAATTGTGATATAATAGTAAAGCTGTTTTGCCCATGAGTGTGGAAATACACATCCCACATGTAGGTCTTAAATCCATCTCAGTATGTGTTTGTGTAAAGATTCCGTTTTATTTGTTTCCATATACAGTGGTACCTCATTTCACCAACTCAATTTTCTCCACAGTTTTGGTCACAAATGAAACTGGATGAGAACCAAATTAAATTTCCCCCAAGGTCAATATTGAACCTAACCACTGAATTTGATTCAGCTGTTGTCCACCTTGGTTGGTGACCAGAATCATGGAACCAAGTTTGTGAGCTGAGGTACCACAGTAATGACCTATTTTTCTCTGCCCTGCCTAGAAAACAATCCCTTCTCTCACTGGTTCAGTGACTTCTATCCTGTATTAAATTCTTATGGTCCTGGCTTTCCAGCCTGTCCCATTGGTCTATTTCTGTATTCTTCTGCTATCTTGTCATTTTCTCATCTCTGGCACAAAACACCTGAAAGCTGTCCACTTTACTAAAGAGCCTCAACATGATGCTTTTCGATGCATATTTTTCTCTTTGCTTTCTCAAGCTGGGGACTGAACCCAGCCCCTTGTACTAGCGCCAATGCAAATTTTGGCCAGAGACCTTTTCAGATCTTTTTCCGGACAGCTAAAATAGATTCTTTTCAAAACCAACACTCAACAAAGCATCCCAGAGCATATGAGTTTCATTAAAGGGTGCTGACTTGCCAGTGAAAAGTCTTTAACGCAAGTTACTCACGCTAAAAATCTTTTTGGTGGGGTCACTGGGGATCAAACGTGGGTCCTTGAGCTTGAGAGGCAGCAAGGCAGGCAGTGGAACCACTAAGCTAAATCCCCAGCCCATATGCCAAAATCTTAAAATTTTTACTCTTTTCTTGTTTTGGTACCGGAGATCGAATTTGGGACCTTGCACTTGTGAGGCAGAACCACTGAGCTAAATCCCCTATCTTCAGGTTGAACGTATTGATTTCTTTTCAGTTTCAAAAGACATAGAATTGTTTTTAAATTATAGCAAATCATATTTCATGCACATTTCTGAGAGGCACAGACAGATGTATTATTGGAAACAAAAGGAGACTAAAGAGACATAAGGATGCATGGTAACCTGAAGTCCTCAATTATTGGTTGAATTAGATTGATTAAAAAAAAAAAAACAACTCCATGCATAACCCTAGCTGAATACTTGGGGGAATCCACACATTGACCATTTAGATAACCTTGCTGTAGCAAGGTCAGATTCCCTGGTATGATAATGCTAGTGTGGTGAGGTAGGGAAAAGTCCTTATTATATTCGTTATTTTCTAGTACCTGGGATGCGTTACCCAACCCCAAAACTGGAAGGAGGACAGGTCTGATTTGGCTCAAATTTTTGTTTTGTTTTTTTTTGGTACTGGGGATCGAACCCAGGACCTTGCACTTTCGAGACAGGCACCGGAACCACTGGGCT